GCACGTGGCGCCCGCTCAAGGTCGGTGCAGATGTTCTAGAAACGTCTCCCAGTGCGGGAAACTGCGACTCAGCATGCACGCCAAAAGCCCTTTACATGCGGTAGTCCAGGATTATTATAAAACAACCAAAGCCTTGCAAAAAGTTCGTAGTGGACAGGCTTAATCATATCGTTATATTTGTGCTATCCTGAGTAAAGACTTTTGCCATCAGAACCGGCTTTGCCTTGTTCGGCCTACTAGTCGGGTTTATAACACCTAGCAATGCACCTCAAATTCAGTTGTTTCATACGGGAGGTAGCATTACCCCAGGAGAACACATATCGGTTGCGTACGTGACCGTTACCGGGATTATATTTCGAGTAGACGAAAAGCCGTTCGTGCTGCTTGCGCGTGAACTAAATACACCACCATTAGGGGCGGAACCACACATTTCGACCGCAGGTCAATGACCGACTGAACTAACTTTTATTACTGGGCGTCGACAAGAAAAAACCCGTTTTCTAGCCAGGCACGCTAGAAAGAAATTACTTTTCATCGTTGCATATTTTATCAAGTTAATGTATTACGTGACCACACTTATTCACTCACCGACGACAGGCACAATATTTTGAAGCAAAATGATTATGATTCAAGATAATTTTTGGAGCGGAATATACATCTTGTGTCTTCTTTAAATATGTCTATACCTGTGAAAGGTTTGTGCATTTTTTTAAAATTAGTAGGCAGTTTTACGTGCAATACCGAAAGATTTGCACAATGGGTATCGAGAAAAGAGGTAAAAAACCAAAAATGTGTATTGTTAGTACGATTCAAAGTTGCAAATCTCGGTTTGTAAGAATATGTTATAGTGATTACCACCACAAAAGGAACCCACAGAATAGTGGTAATTAGGGCCAATATTAATTATCTTTTTAGGGCTAGGCATGAATACACATATAACAGGTGATTGCAATCCTCGGAATCGTCATTTTATTCTTCTGAGCTGTCAGGCTCTCGCGGGAGTCCATCGTCAGAGATAAACCTTCAACGAAAAGTGAGCAACATTTATAGGGGCAGGAACCAATCTGTTGTTTTAGGGGAAGGGAGGAGGGTTGGGGGAAGAAGGAGGAGCGTGCGATAGGTAGAAGAAAAGAAGGGTTTTTTGGGATTTGGGTGACTGATTTAGAACCCGTTTTTTAATTACGTTTCCGGTGATCGCAACGTCGTCTTCTTCTATAAAATAACTGAGATGCGAGACTTTGCCTCTCTTCATGACTACATATTTCAAACATGCAGTAATCCAGTTGGATATAGTTGATAAGTGTTACCATGTATTA